AAAAAAAAAAGAAAAAGAAAGGTATATGATCCCACCTCTACTCACTTAATTATGTGTATATACAGACACTGAAAAAAAATCTGCAGAATTGATACCAAAGGGTTAACAACACTTACGTAGGTAAGGTTATGGACTCTATTTTTATTTTATATGTACGTTCCAATTTTCCTACAAGAAACCCACAGTACCTGTGTAATAGGGGTTAATTATGAAAGTAGGACAGGAGCTTGTCTCCCTCCTTCTCTCCATGGGTCCTAGAGGTCTGTTTGGTTTTCCTGAACTGAAAATAAGGACTTTGTGACTTTTGAAAAAGAGAAAGTGCTGGTGAGCTGATTTTCTTTTGGAAGTTGAGGCAAGTGTTCCTTCCCTGCACCCCCAAAACACCACCAGCAGGTGGCAGTCTGCTCCATGGGTTGAGCCACTGGGCCGGCCTCAGCCTGGGGTCCTGCACCTTGCAGTCCAGACACTGGAGGCCTTTGTCTGGGTCCCAAAGTGGGACCGACAAGCCTGATGTGCCAAGCTGGCCCCTTGCTCTTCTTTTCTCTATATTTCACAGATCAGAGCCAACACTTGGCCCTCTGAGGGTGAACGTCGCCTTGGGCCCACCTTTACCCCCTGAAGCAGCATCCCCCTCTCCACACACACACCAGGAGACCAGAACATTCCAGAAGGGTCTCGGGGTGTCTGAAGCTTATCGAGTCACGCGCTTACAGTAATTCTGCTTTATTTCTCACCCTCAACAAGGAGGAGGAAAGGCCTCCGCCCGGATACTGCTCTGCTCCTAATTTGGGGATAGCCACTCGCAACCTCTCTTCCTTCAGGGAGGCCTGTGCAGAGGACTTGAGCTGGTGGGGAAGGAGGTCGACCCCGGAGATCCCCAAGGAATGGCCTCACTTTCCCGCCAACTTCCTCATGGCCTCTCCTTCGAAGCGAAAGGCATGCCAGCCCTCGGTTTCAGTCAGATCCTGGGCTCCCAGGGCCTTGTACAAGGCCATGGCCCTCTGGTTCCAGTCCAGGACTGCGAGGCGGAACTGGGAACAGCCCTGATCCAGGGCCACCTGTGGGAGAAGACATCGCTGACTTTTCCTTCCAAAAAGGAAAAGGCTTTTTCACCCTGCATTGGACTGCTGTGCTGCCCCTTACCTGCTTGCTTTTCCAGGGCCTAACTCACCGCCCCATCCCTCGCCTCACCTGAGCCACCTTTTTTATTATTTCGGAGCCAATCCCCTGACCTGTTGTGGGGAAAACGAGAGAAAACAAAAAGGGGGCGGGAGGAGGGGTCATTTCCATTGAAGGGACTCAGAAGAGGCCATAAGGCTGGGGTTAGGGGGCAGGGGATGGAGGTTGGGTCTGGGTGGCTTTCCTCCCGCCCTGGCCCCAGTTCAGTACCCCTACATTCCGGCGTCACATAGATGTCTTCCAGATAAACGTTGCGCCCCTTCCACGTGCTGTAGATGAAGTAATACAGCCCATAACCCACCACACGGGGCCCTGAGATGGAGACAGAAGAGGGCACTGGGCGCCTGGGAGGGACCTCTGAGAGCGCCGGGACGGGACCCTCCGAGGCCCTGCTGGTCTTACCCTGCGGCTCCCCGGGGGCGGGAAGGACCTCAGCCACCAAACAGTGATAGAAGGGGTTCCCTCCGAAGCCATCTGCTCTCAGGGCTGCGGAGATGGGGATTGTGGCAAAGAGACAGAGAAAGGGCCTGGGTGTGCGCCCGCCCGGCCTGGAGCTAGGGCCTTGGGGACCCATCCCTCCCTTCCGCCCTCCCCCCCCCAGCCCGCCGCCGCCGCCTGGGCCAGGACGCGGGTGCCGGGCCCCCACCTTCTTCGCTGATCTGCACCTGCTCCGAGAGTTTCTCGTACTCGGCCAGTTCCTACGGCAGCGGGGGACAGAGGCCGGATCAGGGCAGGGGACCCCTCCCGAGGCGGCCCCGACTCCTCGCCTGCCCCCCTCCCCCGGCCGCGCCGCCCGCACCCCCTCGGGGGGCCCCCGGTTCCTGGCCCGCAGGCGTCACCCGAATCAGCCTCAGGATATGTCCACAGTCTCCCTTTTCGGCCTCTCGGATCCGCACGGAGGCCATCTCGATCCCCGCCGTCTGGGACTGAAGTCCGGGCCCCTCCCCTCCTGTCCTGCAGGCAGGGGGCCTGCGAAAGGGCCTACGCACCGGGCCGGGACAGCCTGGGGGCGCCGCGGGCTGGGGCCCGGGAGGCTGGTGGGCGTGCGGGGGGTGCTCTCGGCGCCGCACCCCTGCACCCGCGGGGAGCCGGGGGAGTGCTCAGCGCCGGGGGCGCGGGGGGGATCCTCTCGGCGCCGCACCCCTACACCGACCCGGGGCCCTGGGAATGCTCAGCACCTGGGGCGGCGGGGGGGGGATCCTCTCGGCGCCGCACCCCTGCACCCTCCCGGGACGCGTCCCCCCAGCCAATCAGCTGGCAGAACAGGCACGCCCCGAGGCCCTAGCCCTGTCCCCCGCCGCCAGCCCCGTAACTGGGCCCCCGGGCAGGGGTCAAGGCTGGACTGCCCGCTCCCTCGCTGTTGTCGCCCGGGTGTCCCAGCCTCTGAGGGTGAAACCCCGCAGTTCAAAAGTCACCTCCCCTGGCCTTCCCTAAGTGAAGGGTGCAGTGATTTTCTGCTGTACCCTTCAGTCACGCTCACCCATCCAAGGGCCCCCGCGACCCTGGGTGAGTCCTAAGTCCCCCAGCTCCGAGAGCTGTCTCCTAGGGGGTCTTGAGTGGCTCCAGGTGTCCTTTTTCTCGGCGCACTGGGATTTCAAAACGGGTCAGGCAGAGGGTGATGCATTTCTATTGGTAGATGGTGAAATCCGAAATAAATGGAGAAGAGGAGATAATTTGGAGTGGGGGACGGGCCTTTTCTTAGTAGCCACTAAATCACAGTCAGGGACAGAACCTCCCTCTGAGGCCAGCCTCAGAGGCCTGGGAAAACACTGAGGGAGGAGCTCAGAGCCGACACCAGGCACCGTGCCTGCGTTATCTCAATGAGTCCTCCCTACAGTAACCCCATAAAGTAGGTACTATGTTTCACATTTTATGAACAAGGACACTAACAAGCACCATGAGTGGAATGACTTGACCAGACTCACCCAGCCGGATATTTAGTATCGCAGGTCTCAGCCATAGTTCCTTTTTTTTTTTTTTAGGATTTTATTTATTTGAGAGAGGGAGCATGAGAGGGGTGGAGGAGTAGAGGGAGAGGGAGCAGCAGGTTCCCCGCTGAGCAGGTGGGGCTTGATCCCAGGACCCCCGGATCATGACCTGAGCCCAAGGCAGATGCTTCACTGACCGAGCCACCCAGGCGCCCCTCAGCTGTAGTTCTGACAGAGGATGCTCCTTGGGGTGCGGGCAGGACTGTTTCTGGACCTCAGGCCCGCAGAGGCAGCCTCCCCAGGTGGGCAGAAGGCTTCAAGGACCCAAGTCAGGCTGTAGAGAAGGAGTGGGGAAGTGGGGTATCTTGTCCGAGTTCATACACTTTCCCGGCAGGGGGAGTGTAGTGAAGGAACTCTGTCCCTCCCCCCGAGTTGTCCTCAGAGGGGTCAGAGGGGCCAGAGGGTCAGTGCCCGGTCTCCTGCCCCCCTTCTTCCCCCCGGGGCAACCTTTAACCCAACACCAACTACAGAAAGGCTGCCTGCCCCCACACATTCTCCCCAGAGCTCTCTGAGCCACAGAGAGGACCGCAGCTGACCATGGAGGGCAGAGGCCCGCTGGTCACATCGCCGCGGTGGCTGTCACTGCTGTTGTTACTGCTTCCACCTCCCGGCCACCAGGGACAGGCCCCGAGACATGGTCTCTCCACCCAGGTGCGGCTGTTGGGATGGGGTGCTCAGCCCGCGTGCGGGACTAAGTGAGCTGCACTTGGCTCAGCTCCTGCCTTCTTTTCCTCCCCGCCCCCCCCACCTCTCCGTCCATCCTCACTCTACCTTGTTTGTTTTCTCTCGTGGACAGAGGGTCCAGGACCCCCCTGCTGTGCACCTCAGCAATGGCTCAGGACAAGAGCCTATCAGCATCATGACTTTTGACTTCACCAAGATCAGGAAGTATGAGGTTGACCTAGCCCCCTGACGGAGTCCCTGACCCTACCTTCCCTCCCTCGGATCTTCTCCCTGCCTCCAGCCTCCCCCACCCCACTTTTACCCCCAGAGGGCATGCCCCATACACAGTCTTTCCTTCTCTGTCCTTCCAGAAGCTCTTCCTCCTTTGAGCTTCGAACCTGGGATCCAGAGGGAGTGATTTTTTATGGCGATACCAACCCAGACGATGACTGGTTTGTGCTAGGACTTCGAGATGGCAGGTCTGAGATCCAGCTGCACAATCAGCTGGCCCAGCTTACAGTGGGCACGGGGCCCCGGCTGGACGATGGCAGGTGGCACCAGGTAAGCCAGATCCGGTCCCAAGGGGAGGGGTGTCCCAAGCTGGTCCACAGAAGGGGAACAGAAAGGAGTTTTCAGGCATCCCTTTCCCACTGTCACCTTATTCAATCTGCACAAAACCTCCATGGAGTTGCTATGCTTGTCCCCGGTTTTCCGGATGGGAGTTCTGAGGCTCACGGCCCGAGTGAGCCAAGGATGCTGGCTGACTCCACGAGTCTATGGTCTTTTTTTTTTTTTTAAGATTTTATTTATTTATTTGACAGAGAGAGACACAGTGAGAGAGGGAACACGAGCAGGGGGAGTGGGAGAGGGAGAAGCAGGCTTCCCGCGGAGCAGGGAGCCCGATGTGGGGCTCGATCCCAGGACCCTGGGATCACGACCTGAGCCGAAGGCAGATGCTTAGTGCCTGAGCCACCCAGGCGCCCCACGAGTCCATGTTCTTTCTGCTATACTTGGCCGCTTCTGAAGAAGAAAGTGGTGGAGGCAGGCCACAGAGGTTCTGATTGGGCTCCGCTCCTTCCTCCCTGCAGTTGGAAGTGAAGATCCTTGACGATTCGCTGCTACTGAGTGTGGACAGGGAGGAGGTGCTGCGCCTGAGACAGGTCTCTGGGCCCCTGGCCAGCAAACCCCAGCCCATCGTCAGAATTGCACTGGGGGGACTCCTGTTCCCCGTCTCCAGCCTCCGTTTGCCGGTAACTACATCACAGGGCTGGGGACCGACCAAAGCTGTTGAAGTGTGGCTGGCTGGGGGACCGTGGGGGTCCAAGGCCACACTTTGAGCGAGCGAGAGAGAGAGAGAGAGAGAGAGAGAGAGAGAGCTGCGTGGGAGAGGCCAAGTGCTTGTGACTCACAGCGGAGTAAACTGAGGGTGGGGAGGGGCTCTGATGTCTTGAAGGCCACATCCCTGCGTCTTCCCTTCCCTCCACCGGCTCCAGCTGGTCCCTGCCCTGGATGGCTGCCTGCGCCGGGGTAACTGGCTGGACCCACAGGCCCAGACCTCGGGATCTGCTCCTACTAGCAGCCTCAGAAGCTGTGCCGTCGAGTCCCAACCTGGGACGTTCTTCCCACCAGGGACCCGTGCAGAATTCAATCTCCAAGGTAAAGGCTGTTTTTCCCTGCACGGCCAGCTCTGTGTCTGCCTTCCCCTGTCACCCTCCTGGCACTCGCTGCCTCCCTCCATGAGTCCCCAGCCTTGAGTCCTCAGGGGGATCACTTCTCCCCCCTCCCCCAGACATTCCCCAGCCTCATGTCGAGCCCTGGGCCTTTTCTCTGGACCTGGGACTCCAGCTGGCAGCAGGCTCCGGCCGCCTCCTTGCCCTTGGGACCCCAGAAAACCCTTCTCGGCTCAGCCTCCACCTCCAAGATCAAGTAAGAGTGGGCGCTGCCTGTATTCAGTGGAGCCTGGGAGCAGCGGAGGGGGGAGCGGGGGGACATTCCAAGTTGTCAATGTTAGGAAAGCTTAAGGTGGGGGGGGGTAGAGACGCATCCTGAAGCTGCCCACAGCAAGCAAATGACATTTTATTTATTTATTTATTTATTTATTAGATTTTATGTTTAAGGACTCTCTACACCCAACATGGGGCTCCAACTCACAACCCCGAGATCAAGAGTCGCAGGCTCTGTGAAGTCAGCCAGCCAGGCACCCCTACAAATGGCTTTTATCTAGATTGTATTGACTTGGGAGAGGTGTGGTTTTATGGAATATCAAGCCAGGGAAATCGAGGCAGCATTTAGGTGATTGAAATGGTCGGCAGACAGACGGTAGGGCACAGAGGTCCCACTGAGGCAGTAAGGGATGGGGCCCCAGGGAGCTGATGCGGTTCATTCTTTCCACTCCCCCCCCACCAATCCCTTTTCCGCACACTCTGCAGAAGGTGGTGCTGTCCTCTGGGTTGGGGCCAGAGCTGGATCTGCCCCTGGTCTTGGGACTCCCTCTTCAGCTGAAGCTGGCTGCATCCGAGGTGGTCTTGAGCCAGGGGTCTAAGAAGGAGATCCTTGCTTTACCTGCCTTGGACTCGGACCTTGCCTCCCTCCTCAAGCTCTGGGTCCAGCCGCAGGGGCGCCTCTTCCTGGGGGCTCTGTCAGGTAAGACAGGGACGTTCGTGTTCCTCAGCACACCACTGGAAATAGCTAGAGGGAAAGGAAAAGACAGGCAAGCGTGTGGTTTTAGGGGAAGGAAACTTCTGGAAAGGGAGAAGAGAGGCCACAAGAAGAGAAGGGATAAAGGGCAGTGGGAGAAAGTGCTTTAAAAAACTTGAGGCAGAGAGCTGGGAAAGTGGGGGGCAGCCTGTGGGTCCAAGCTGCCCTAAGGTCCCCTCCGTGCCCCCTCCCTCTAGGAGAGGCCTCTTCTGCCTCCTTTTGCTTGGATGGCCTTTGGGCACAAGGCCAGAAGCTGGACGTGGACCGGGCCCTGAGCAGAAGTCAGGACATCTGGACTCACAGCTGTCCCCAGGGCCCAAACAGTAGCACCAGCACCACCCATTAAATCCCCACCTAAGAATCCCCTTGAATGTTGCTCATTCATTTATTCAACAAGTATTCACTGGGCGTCTGCAATGTACCAGGCGCCCTGCTGAGCAGTGGGTTGTCCTGATGAGTAAAAGCGACCCAGGTTCCTGGCCTCTGAGCGCTCACGGTCCCCCGGGGGGGGCAGGCATCCGGCAAAGACTCACAAGTAAGTGGATGATTGGAAACCCAATAAGCGCCATAAAGGAAGGTCAGCTTTCTCGCGCCGAGGCTGGTCCTGAGAGGTCCAGAGGGGAGGGAAGCAATGGAATTCTCTGGTCCTTGAGATGGGCCACTGCTGTGCAAGGAAGAAGCAGCAGGGGGTGTGAGAGAGCCGTGGAGACAGCGGGGCAGGGGTTCTGGGAAAAGGGGTGGAAACAGCCGGGAGAGAGAAAAAAAGGAGTGGAGCCTGGGGCGAAGCAGCCTGCATCTCTCCCGGTCTTGGTCCACTTGCTGCATTCCCAGACGAATTCGTCTCTACTCCATTAAACAAGAGCTGGTTTATGCTGGTCCCAGCTGGGAAAAACAGACAGATTCAGGAATATCTCTGCCTTCAAAGAATATGGTGACTCAGCCCTCAGCCCCCAGACCTCTGCCGAATCCTGGTGCCCCAGCCCCTACCCAGGGCACGCACCCTCCTGTCTCAGCCCCTAGCTTCCTGGGAAACCTTTAAGCCCGGACCCCCAGCCCCCTAGGGAGCCCTGGGGCTCCATCCCTCAGTCCCCACCTCTCAATCCTCATCCCTCTCTAGAGCTGTTGACCCATCCCCCATCTCCAGAACCCATGGGGATCCCAGCCTCCTGGCTTCTTAAAATGATTTTCCTACCAGTCACCCTGGCAACAGGGTGAGTCACTCATTGGACCCGCTGTCTCCTTCTGCAGGGATCAGCCAGGACCTAAATGACCCCAGGGTAAGGAGGCTCCAGGAGAGTCTCTGGGGCTGGAAGACACAAAGCTGAGGC